ATTTGGACACTTCTGTTTCTCTTTTACCACCGGGAAAGAAGCCCTGAATAAAACTACCTTTGAACTTACTGTACACCAATACAGAACTGTGCCAGATGTTGCCTCTTCAAAATATGTGCCGGGAGTCGTTGTTCCTTCAGTACCCTGTCAGAAGCTCCAAAGCCTGTGCAAGGTGTTCCTAAAATTGTCCTTTTTTAAGCTACCGTTATTTGGAACCAACCAAAAATGTAACTGTGGAAATATGCTGTGCACATGTGGGTGTTATTTGCATATTAGACATCATAGGAATCTGGAGAACTTTCCCATTTCCTCCAAGTCTATTTCTAGGCAATAGCGGAGGACAAGCGAGAACAACTGCATACGCCAGGATCACCAATTTGCTGAACTGGATTAAGTAAGCCACACATTACAAACTGGAACAAGTAAGACATACATTGGAAACTGGAATAAGCAAGTCACTCGTTTCAAACTTGAATAAGACATACATTACAAAGTATTAACCATTGATTATCTAGGAACAAGACTGATGGAAAATGTGAAAAGAAAAAACATACCAAAATAATATAATGGACATGTAATTACAGAACGTGAAGAAAAAGCATTTCAATGTGGCTACACTGGCAATTTTCATTAGTATGTACAGTAACTCTGTGTCAGTAACACTTACAGGCCTGTGGGGTACATGCTGATGTAGCTCATTACAGCTGCTTAAATAACTGTTTTTAACCTCATTAGCCTCTCCAAGGAATGGAAAGAAGTCAGAATGTAGTCACCTTAAATTACCTACGGACAGGAGGAAAAGGAGGTCTTGTTACAGATGTATATGAATATTAGATTGTGTTTGATTGTAATTTGAAAGTTGTTGATTAGGAAAGCATTACAAATGCCTTTTAAGAGAAAAACAAAACACTGTATTATATCATGAACTCTTCCACAGAGACCAAGACAGATAAATAAGTCATTACCAGCACTTCATTTATTTGTTTTCTTTTGTTTACTGTGAATAATGGAAGTCTGAGTTATTTGTGATTGGAATGTATTCTTTGTTTTTATTGCATGCTGTTCTCAAACCCATGTGAAGCCTGAGAAAATCCCACTCTGTACAATCTGTTTCTGTCTCTGTTTCCAAATCCTGACCTGCACCTAGTCAGTACCTCACCATGAAGAGACAATGTGCAATGCTGGCATGAATCTCTCCCACTCCAATATATAGAGAAGATACCTTTATCCTCACCTTCCATAAAACTTTTATCCTCACCTGTCATCATCTAAAGGTTTGCCATTATCATCTCTGAGAAGCTTCATCCCTTAATGTGGCTCTTTCGCTGTGGTATTCCTGTACAAATATTCATTTATAAGGGCTTGTTCTAATACATTTTTTGTCTGAGTTCACAATTTGCTGTGCTTTATTTCATTGACTGGATGCTGTTCTTTTTGAAACGGTTTAGTGCTGTTTTCTTATATTGGTCTGAACTTATTTTGTAATGTGTGCCATTACCCCCTATGTCCTATGATTCACTTCCTCTACGTATGAACCTGTTCTGGGCTTCAAGCAGGATATCTTTAAACTGCTGCAGTCTGCCGATATCTATCCAATCCCATTCTGCTTCATTCTTCTCTGCTTTTCCGCGATAGGTAACCTTTGTTTTGAACACGTTTGTACAGCTTTAAAATATACTTTAAAGCACAAAATACGATGACCACATTTTCATGATGGTTCTCCCATCTGTGATGATCCTTCAAAGTCAGGATCAATACAGGTGTTCCCTCCTGTAGGCATTCTGACACACTGAGAAAGTGGCCATTAGCCACGTCTCGCATTTCAGTGTCCAGTGTTGATATCCTCAGTGCTTCTTCTCCATCTACAATAGAAAATTAAAATCGTACAAGATTCACACTTACGCTTCCTCCTTTACGCTAACATTCCTGATTTCGTGATACTGAGCATCAAAAGATGCATCGCGCACAACCGAAACAAGTCAGCATGTCTTTGTAGCAGGTACGCTGATTTTCATCCACAGGGCGGTCCGCAGGGAGTCCACTGCGTAAGGCTTTTGCACCAGGTGCAGACACGCCGTCGTGTCGAGACCCTCCGCCATGCCTGTCATAGAGGCTGCCTGTGTCCTCTTCTCCCCCTCCTTCACGTGCTGAGCAGCTCAGGCCAGCGAGAGCAGCAGCCGCCCGAGCAGCTTGAGCAGGAGGCCCGCTGTCAGGCCAGGACGAGCCCGTGCTCTCAAGACGCCACCTGTCCCTACAAGAGGGGAAGCAGCTGAGAGCTCCTGCCACACCGTCACACCTGCGCTCTGCATGGCTGTGTCACGGCCACACAGAATCAGAGACCCTTCCCATCCCCACACACGCCGTCACATCGACTGATCATCCAATCACACCTGTCAGTCACCTCCACACCCCCTGGGCTCGTGACCATCACCACGGTTTACCAGTGGAGCTCCTGGTTCTCGTCCTCGACACTTCCTGACTGCTGTTAACCTTCTGAACCTCCGGCTTCGTCCAAGACTACGATTCCTGGTCCTGAGACTTGGTTAAGTACACCTGGCCTCCCCTAACCCTGTTCCTTCCTTGTTGTCCAGTTCCGCATAGGGTCCAATTCTACCTTTGTTTTGGCCTGCTATCCGTAACACTCTGCACTCAACGACGGCTCGCCCGCCCGAGAGCCCACCTGCTTTCTGCTGTGAGCACTGGACCCTGGTGTGGTTATCTTGCCGGCAAACAATCTTAATGAAAAATCCTGGTGACCATAAATATATGTAAAAGAAATGGCTGTTTGTGAACAAATCACACAGCATGTGACAGTGTGCCGACTTCCAGCCTCAACACACCAGCGGCATAAAGGCACTGCTCTCGTAAGAGGTGGGGCAGCTGTAAGTCCTTTCTGCGTTGTGATCAAGTGTTTCATGCAGTAGTACACAGTCTAAATCAGTGGTTCTCTCACCAGAATCCTAACCCAGCAGAAAAAAGGGCCGAACAATGGTTTGCTCTTCAGATGTACACTAATTCAGTGAATGTGTTTGAGCCATAAATCGGTATAGAAAAGAACTATCAAGGCAAAAGTGTGAATTTGTTGTAATTTTGGAAAGGCTGAATGAGGCTTTTCATGATTTCACACCTGGAATGTCCTGATGTACAAACCATGATCAACGCAGTAGAGAGCACAGGAGAAGAAATAGGGTGTTCCTAGGGTTAGGGTTCAAATTTCTAGAAAAGCTTGAACAAAAAGAAGATGACCTTTTTCTTTAAATGGGCCAAGTTAATCAAGTTTCAATGTCTTTAAGGACACAACTGGAAAAGTTTGATAAAGTGTTTTGTGGTAGTAGCACAAAGACTTATACAGTACCCAATGGCACTAACGGGAAATAGTCAAAGAAGTAAAAAATGTCCAGGGTGTGTGTAACTGTGTGTGTCCTGTGATGGACTGGTGTCCTGTCCAGGGTGTGTGTGTGTGTCCTGTGATGGACTGGTGTCCTGTCCAGGGTGTGTGTGTGTGTCCTGTGATGGACTGGTGTCCTGTCCAGAGTGTGTGTGTCCTGTGATGGACTGGCGTCCTGTCCAGGGTGTGTGTGTGTGTGTCCTGTGATGGACTGGTGTCATGTCCAGGGTGTGTGAGTGTGTGTGTCTGTGTGTGTCCTGTGATAGACTGGTGTCCTGTCCAGGGTGAGTGAGTGTGTGTGTCTGTGTGTGTCCTGTGATGGACTGGTGACCTGTCAAGGGTGTGTGTGTGTGTCCTGTGATGGACTGGCGTCCTGTCCAGGGTGTGTGTGTGTGTCCTGCGATGGACTGTTGTACCCTGCTTTTTGCCTGTTGTTTGCTGGGATAGACTCCAGCTCCCCTGTGAGCCTGGACTGGAAGAAGTAGTTAGGAAATGGGAGGATGGATGAACAATTCATGTTGTTGTGACTGGTGTTTGGACGTCTGTCTGCGATGGTGGTATCCTGCTGGGGCTGGACAAGGGGACACAGCACCTGGTGTCCCTGATAACACAAGGACTGCGGGACGCGGGGGACACTCTCATCTGGGGGAGAGGATCCCTGCGGATCTCAGAGGCAGGATGAAGCACGGTGCCGCCGAGTGGGGATCTCCGCGGCGAGGGGCGCTGGGAGGGACTGTGGGCCCCTGAGCTCCGGCTCCGCAGGTCCAGAGCCGGGACAGGGAAACGACACGGACAACAGCAAGGGGTCGGCCTGGAGGGACTCTTTCACTGCGCAAATCCAGCCCCATCCTCCACTTGCACGGATTGACAACGGACAAGCACCTCACTCGGAAAGTTTTAATTTGTTGACAGTTTGATTATTAATGATCTATTGAGATCATTAATAACTGTAAAACTAATGGTTACGAATAGAGTTTCTCTTACCACACACACGAATTCTTACCAGGCTAAAGCGAGTGTTTTATGAAAGGTGATGGATAGCCTTTTAAAAAATCCCATTTGGAACCTCTTATCTTCCGTTTCAGGGCAGTTCAGTTTGTCATATGCACAAGGGCAATGAATTGTTTGTGGATCCCCAGAGTACCCATGAAAAATATTTTTCAGCCGATAACGTTATCTTCCTCACCCTTTCCTCTGTTCAGCTCTGCCTCAGCCCTGTGATTCCTTCCTAGCACATTCAACAAGCCAGATAATCATTTTTCATTCACAGTGACGAGCTGGAGACCCAGCATGTACAGCATAGCATCTACTGGAGCAATTCCTGAGCGCCCTAGCTACTCACAGCAACGACAGCCGGCGTCCCAGCTACCACACCCAAGGTTCAGGGACCCTAACCTCCGCATTTCTGCCACACACATTTTGCAGTTGCATTTTCACCGTAGTTTGATATTTCACCGAAACAGGTTTGTAAAAGACGACTGTAACAGCGCGGCCCGGCGGACAGGCAAGGGGCCGCGCTCCCGACGCGCGGCCCCGACGGCCGGGCACGGGCACGGGCACGGGCCGTCCCGAGCGCGCCCCCCCCCCCACGCCATTGGCGCCTGCGCAGTGGCGCGCGAGCTCGAGCTTTTGCCTCTCCGGCTGTTTGAACAGGAAGGCGGACATGTTTGTCAGAGAGGCAGGGAAAGTCGGGCACTTTTTGCAGTTCGAAAAATAACAACGACTCTCGGGAGCCGGATCGCCCTTTCTCGGAAGCCTCGGGATCCAGCATGCCGGCCCTGGCGACACCCCTGGGCCGCGGAGCTTGAGCGCTGTTCGGCGAGGTGACCCCCGGAGCGACATGTTTCATCGGGGCCGTGTTGTAAAACCGAGCACGGTTTTCAGGGGCTGAAGTTTTTTTTTTTACTACTTTTTTTTGTCCTCTCTCTCCTTCCCCCCCTCCCCACCGCACCCCCCACCCACCAAGTCAGTTCTACTTTTGCAGCTGTCAGACACGCTCGGATTTAAAAAAACAAACAAGCAAGGCAGAAAACAACAGCAAAAGAAAAAGTTCTCGCTGCCTCCAGGGCCCCTCCGACCCAGCTGTGCCAGGCCGTGAGTGCGGTATCTTGTGTGAATCATGCTAGCTGCCTCTTCTCATCCTGCTGCGGCTCTCGCTGTTTCTGGGGGGAGTGGGAGCGAAATGACCGTGCTCCGCGTCTGGAGGCTGTAGCCCTGAGGGCGAAACTCGGGGACCAGAGAGGGCGAGAGATCCGTTGCGGCGTGTTTTGATTTTATTTCATTTTATTATTTTTTTTAAAAGAAGTGAAGTTGTCAGCCCAGCTCGGAGCTCGGAGCAGCAGGAGAGCTGACCGGCTCAGACAGTTTTCTCTCTTAAGATGTGGCTTTGGACCCGCCGGGCACTGGCTGAAGGTTTCTCCGACTGTGAGCGGCTGGCTCGCCTCTTGAAGCGGGTCTGACCGGCTGCGGACCCGACCCGACCCGGCCCGACCCCAGGGAGGCAGGCTTTGCACGCCGTGCCCCAGAGGACAAGGGAGAGAGAGAGAAAAAAAAAAACCCAGAACTGACAGCAAAAATGTCCGCTGGAGAGAGCTTGGAGGCTCGGTTTGAAAAGATCGATGCCATGCTCAAGGATCCCAAATCGGAAGTTAATACCGATTGCCTGCTGGTGAGTGTCCGGGGTGTGTGTGTGTGTGTGTCTTGTCTGTGTTGGGGTTTTCCCCCCTCTCTGTCTCTCTCGTTTCAAATGATACTGCAAGAAAAAGTTATAGTAATAATAATAATGAATTGCACGGGTGTGTTCGGTTCTGTTTAGTGATCGCATTTTAATGAGCTCGCTGCCCAGTTGCCGGGGGGGGTGGGGGTTAGACGTTAAAAACTCGACTGTGCGGAGTTAAAACCACGTAGCTCCTCCGTGTCACGCAATGGTGTGTGCGACTGAACAGCACTGGCGTTTTCTTCTCTGACATAACTTCTGTGTTATGCGTTTCTGGTGTTCACAGTCCTGCTCGCCGCTGAGACCCGATGTCTGGTGCTCGCCTGGAAATGTGCTTTTTTTTTTACTGTTGTTGCACGACTTAGACACTTCAGAAGCGTCGGCTAACGTAGTCGTTCACACTCCCACACAGGGGGAAAAAACCCGTCTTTTTTTCCCCCTCACTCTCTCTCTGAGAGCATTGTAACCTACAAGCAAGCTGTGTGCAGTTCCTGTTGTCGGACTGAGATTCCCTAAGCTGGTGATAAATCGTCAATCGGAAATTATTTAAATAAAGAGAACCCCCCCCCCAAAAAAAAAACACCCCAGCACACTGTCATGCGGTAGGCGAGACCGTGTTTTGCCAGCCTGTTGCTCCTGTCACACGGACACCGTGGGCAGCTCACACTCACAGGGACGTGTCCAGCCGGGCCCTGCACGGCGAGAGCGCCACTCGGACCACGGGGACACGGGTGGCGGTGATCCAGTGGGCCCGGATACCGCTTTGCCCGTTACAGCATAGTTCAGTGCTGCTGCCTTGCGGGGTGACCGTCACCACCCGAGGCCCCGGCGCAGAGCCGCCCCCGGCTGGAGTGGCTGGGCAGGGTGGTCGAGTCGGTGCTCCTTCCTGTACGACAGCTGAACCGCCGTTAAGTACGTGGTGGTGTTGGTTTTTTTGCAGTTACAGTTGAGCCGGGTCGTAACTTTGTTTGCTGCTCAATGCTTGTTTGACGGTAGCTGTCAAACGAGCCAGCGACTCACGAGTGAAGGGGGAACTTCTGTTGCTTGGAAAGTGATTTTTTTTAGGGACCTGTTCAATATTAGGGTAGGGATAATTGTCATGAGCCAGTGGGCCGTTTTTTCCCCATTTTTCCTCACACCAGGGCCAGTTTTCCCAGAAGCCAGTTAACCCACAAGTGTGTTTCTGGACTGTGGGAGGAAACCCACACAAACACGGGGAGAACATGCAGACTCCACACAGACAGCACCCCGGGAACAGAACCCAGGGCCCCAGCCCTGCGAGTCCGCAGTGCTGGCCACCGGCCCGCCCGATTCCTGGTCCACTCATTGAGAACATTCCGGCCTGTTCTGTCCTCCGCTCAGTGAGGTGGGGCTGATGGGAAGATTGTCAGTGCCTCTTTTCCCCTTTGTCCTGCCTAAATTCCAGTGTCTGTAATAGCGATGCACTTCTTAGACAGACTCTTCAAGCTTCCAGCGATATACTCATGGAAAATGGCATTTAAGCTGCACGTTGAGGGTGTGTGTCAGGTTTCATTAACAGATTCGTCTGGAAAGTTCCAGGATTGCCTGTCTGATCTCCCCCTTTTTTTTCCATCCTCGGTTTGGCCTAAAACATTCCAAAATCCTAATTCGCACGAGGGCAGTCCATGAGTTCTGAGAGCCCCGGCTAGTCGAATTCCTCGCGCTCACTCCTGAGTGAATCGGGGTTCGTCTTGCCGAAGGTGCGCGTGTGTGCGCGAGAGGCGTCATTCATGGGAGAAGCCATGCTCCAGAAGGAAAATCTCGGCGTCGGCTCCTACAAGAGCTGTCGGAGATGGTGTGAGCCGCCGAGCCCCGAGATGCAGAAGCAGAGCTGGGTGCGAGATTGTCGAAATGGCTCGTATGGCTAGGAAGTCAACAGAAACAGGATCTTTCTCATCCGCTCTGGTGGAGGTCCTGCAAATAATACTCGGCTGTGGAGGAGGATGGCGCTGGGGGGAAATTCAGATTTTTTTAATCTGTGGCAGCGAGTCCACTCTTCAGTTTTTGTGGCGATTGAGTTCAAGCGGAACAGTCGACGCAGGTCCCCCCTTGTTGCATGTCAGCGTGCCAGCGTAATTATCGCGACACACGCACCCCAGCAGCATCAGCAGCTCTCCAGGGCTGAGGGCCTGTTGGGGGGCCCGCTGGCACCCCGATTAATCCCACACAGCGTTTTGTTATGCCATAAGTCATATCTGGTATTTGTTGTCTGAAAGCATTCCAGGATTCTGAATGTGTTGATTGCAGTGTACTGTTCGCATGACTTGATTTCATCTTTTAAAAGAGAGATCGTGATGATGTTTGCAGGCAGGATGATGTAAAGGTGACCTAATTTTGGGGGTGATCTTGGATTCTTGTCAGTTCTTCTCAGTTGACCAGTCGTATGTAGAAGCTTCCTGTTGGCCAGTCATTACCTTGTATTACTGTGTGTTATGTCTTCCCTGTAAGAAGCAAAAGGTGGCTTATAATCAGTCCTCAGATGTGGAGTTATTCTGTCTGTTACTCTTGGTGGCATTGGTACTTGTGTAACAAGCACCTGTGCACTCAGAGGGAGAAACAAGGGGTTTTGCTCAGTTTAGGGGTGCCTGAGATATTTGCTCACACTTTCCTGGGTAGTGTTCGCTCACTGCAGGAGATGCTGCCAAAAACCAATCCAGAGCTTCAACAAAGGGCTTGAATGCAAAGACTAGGGCTCCCTAATGAATCGGTGGTGTATTTCATGGCCTCTTTCCTTGTTTTATTCAGAAACAGCTGAAGGAGAAGCTCAAACATGTCTGCTTTTTTAAAAAGGGGGCTTTTCAGGGTCTCTGTAAGGCTCTTACATCCTGCCTTTCAGTATAAACCTCTGAATCTTCAAGGTAGAGGGATTTTTGCAGAATTCTGTCTGATTTTGCGAGAGGCGTGACGTGCCCTTTCCAATGGTTATACATGTAGGAATGAAACGCCATCCCTTCAGTACTCCTTTCAGAGGGCAGTTCTGAAATCACAAAGAAACTGTCAGTATTTGATTGAAAGCCGCCAGCATCTTCATCTGATCTTCAAGTGTGTCGTGAAGGGTCCCACACCGACTCCTTTGGGTGGTGTAGTAAGGGTTTAAGAATGGTTACAATGGGAGGAGGCCGTTCAGTCCATCCTCCTCATCTGGCTGTTGGTATGTTAATCCAAGCACCTCCTCGAAACTACCTGAACGCTCCCGGTGACACTGCATGCTCCGTGTGGACTGGTGATTAGTTCTATACCCCTGTGACCCCTGAACAGAAGTGGGTTGTTCCTCTGCTGGTTTTATTCGGTGCTGAAGAGTCTGGGTGTGTAATGTGGCATCGTGTCCTCCTTCCTTCACTCGGATCGGGCAGTTTTCCACACGTGTGCCGTCAGCATCCCCGCAGGGCTGTTCCGGATGACTTTGCACTGAAAGAAAAAGAGAACAGCTTGTCTTCCAGCTTCCTCCCTCCGTTTCTGCTGAATCGACAGAAGTCGGACAGAAAACACGAACCTTGCTGGTTGCAGTTTTTAAGTGTGGAGCTTTTCTTTACATTTTAACGAACTCTCAAGCGCTGACAGTGCAGTCCTTGCAGATTTTATAGGTGCTGTAGTTTCAGACGGAGATCCGGTATGTGAAGTTTAGGGAGTTGCTCTGAAGTGACGGGGAGAGGTGTCCCTGGTGTGGAATCCGGACCTGCTGTCCAGACGCTGTCTCTGCCTGCCCTTCACTGTCACGTCCTGCACTGAAGCGTGAGCACTTGCATTCTGCCGGAGGAGGAATGCCTGATATAGTGACATGCCAGCAGCCCTGCCATTAGACACAGAAAGCTCTTCCCTTGAGGGGGTTAGAGATGGTCCCTCTGCATTCCAAGGCTCTGTTGCACTAGCTAGCACTTAGCAATCCTGGGAGAACAATCTTTATTCGGAATCTACAAAGGAAAGTTGACAACGGTCTTAATTTCTCTTAATTCAATTCTTTTAATTTCTCTTGAACTTCATTTTGAGCTTGTCAGTTTACTGCCAGTCCCAGCCTCCCTCTTACGCTGAGTTGTGGTGGTTTAGCTTTGGAAGATGTCAAGCTGTGCACCAAAACACTGACCGGTCTTTGACTCCCCAAGATGTTTAACACGTGCAATTGCTGCCACAAAATGTCATGGAGGGGGGGAGGGGGGGTCATTCTGGACTTGAGTGTTGACCAGGTCACTTGCATTGTTACAGCAGTGAACATGTGGCAGGAGAGTTTGTGGTTTTGGGAGAAGTCTTGCATAGCCTTCAGTTTAGTTATCTGAAAGCTGCATGTTGCGGAAGAAGGCATGGGGTGGCAGGCAGGATTGAGAGCACTGACCTGCTCTCCCCCTCTCTCTTCGCTGGGCCATGAAGAGAGGAACAGTTAACGCAGCCAGGAGAAAGTCTCAGCACTTGGTGAAGCCACTGAAACATGCAGATGCTCAAAGCTGAAATTATCTATGGCCCTGGAGCTGTGAGGTGGCTGCCAGGCCTCGGAGCCGTGGAGCTGTTTTTTAGACTGCACAGTGTGTGATAATGACCGTATGACTGTAAAGAAAAGTTCGGAGGTTTTGTATGTGTTAATGTCGGCCCTTGCCCTTTGGGGGAAAAAAAAAAGGAATCAGTCATTTTCTTTTATATCCACCTGTTCCGGCGTTCCTGCTCCTAAGCAGGGCAGACGCCCACCTGTCACCCACTTCCTGTGATTCACAGTTCTCTAGCTATGCAAATTTTGCTGCACTAAATGTGATGTTATAGCTCACGGGCTAGAACAGATCTCATTACACACATCCAGTGGGAATGACGCGTGTTAGTTGAATGACAAGGAGGTATAAATGGCCGACCTGCCCCACGAGACTGATCGAGCCAAGTCGACGGGCAAGCGCTAGTCCGTGTTTTCCCCCGAGAGACCGTCCGGACTGGGCGCTGGGAGATTCCTTCAC